CTCATCTTGCTGCTGAGCAACGGTATTCCACTACAGAATGGAAACACTCCACATCTCCTTTGGGATGCAACAGAATTCCTGTGTTCCCAAGGCCACAGCTTCATCCTCTGGTTTTTCCAACAGCGCACATAGCCAGCATTCTCCCACAGTGTGCGCTGTTTGTCTTGGGAGAAATCAACACATGTTTGTCAAATGCTCTGCCAAGCATCTCTGGAACAACATCCACACAACCATCAGCAAACAGGTCAACAAACAGCTTCTTGTCCATTCCTCAGACAAACCTCTTTGCATCAACTGGCAATGTGGATGTGGCTGCACCAATCATTCCCATGATGAATGTCACCTCTGTTCAGGATGTCTCTCTACCTCCCATGGTGCTCAGTACTGTCCTTGAACTCAGGCACATGGAACCAATATGCCTCTATAAAGTATCAATGTGGCAAGTCTTACTGCTTCATCATAGTCTCGTGGATTGCTATCCCAAAATTCCAGACAGTTTTCAACATGGCTTTGATCTTCATCTGCCTTCTATCACAGTCTCTCAAGTTCCTGCTAATCACTACTCTCTCTCCATTTACTATGATGTCTTCCACCACATTCTTCAATGCAAGCTCAGTACAGGCCATTACATTGGCCCTTTCACTCATTCTCACCTTCAATCACTTATTGGAACCTTCCAAACATCTCCAGTATCAATCGTTCCAAAATCCAGCAAATCAAGAAAGTTTCAAGTCATTCAAAACTTTTCCTTCCCTTTGTCGCCTTCTCCCCACCACCCTTCACCATCAACTAATTCAGCTGTCAATTCCAACAAATTTCATTGTACATGGGGGACCTTTGATATGGTTTGCTGTATCATTAGAAATCTCCCTCCTGGCTCACAAGGTTCCACTCATGATGTTGCAGAAGCTTATCATACTGTTCCATTACATCCTTTTCAATGGCCTGCTACCATTGTGCATATGGACAACAATGTGTTTTATGTTGATACTGCACATCTTTTGGGATAGGCCCTTCAGCTGGAGCTTATGGTTATGTTGCAGATGCCAGTGTGGACCTCCTGCAAGCTGCTGGTTTGGGTCCTCTTATTAAATGGGTTGATGACCATTTGTTTCTTTGCATTGAGCACATGCACCTTATCAAATACAATAGTTATTATAGTGCTTTACATATCACATTGTCTACCAATCACCTTCATCAAACTGGTGGTTGTTTGTGGTTTGAGGGTGTCACACTTGAAGATGGGAGTACTAAAGTATTTGCCAAAGACTGTCATTTTCCCATCCTTGATCTTGCACACACTGTTACGAACTAAGATGGTCATAACAACAGCAGCTTGATAAGAGTGACAGCTGAAGTTATAGTCAAGACCTTGCAAATGAAAGGGTTGCAAGACAAGATGAAGAGAGTGTCTTCGACTTGAATATTGGTTCAGATGACTTAGATTTGGAGGATCTAAGTGAGAGAATGTTCAGGTGAAACCTAGTAAGATTAAAGTAAAGAACTACTAAGTACATTGTTAACTATATATAGGATCATAGATGATTTAGGGCAGGCATAAGTCAATGATGAGTCAGAGATAGGAAATGAGTCAGAGATAAGAAATGAGTCATCTAGCAATGGCAGCAGTGATCATGATGTAATACAAATATTGGAGACAGGTTTAGCAGCAGCATCATGCAGCTCATGACGGAATACAAGGATAGTAAGGAGAAAATGAATAGGGGCATACATGACTGTAACACACACCTCCATTTGCTCAAGCAAGGACAATCTCTTTACATCCAATTTCCAAGACATTGATGATGCATTCATTCCCTTGGGGACCCCCTGGGAACCTTCAAAAGATGCACCATTTGCATTTGAAGTGCTGTTCATCAGACTTCTCTGGAATCTCATTTGTCTCACTGTTAGATTGGGGGAGTTGAAGAAGAAGAAATATCTGGAAGCCATTAAAGATTGGTTGTTGCAGGAGACTCATGTGCTTCTCCAGGTCCAGGAACTATATGGCAAGTTGTTACATGCCTACCTTGTTATTCCTGTTGGACGAGCCTATCTCACCTCACTGGAAAGCATGCTTGGTATCACCACTAGTCATCCTTTCATGCCATACCACTCAGTCAAACACCTCACTGACGACCTCATCTGGTGGCAGAAACAACTGTCTCACCCTTGCCTGGAACACCTCATTCCCCAACCATTCCATATTGTCAATGCACATGCCTATTCCAATGCCAGAACTGGCATTGGAATTGCAATTGTTATCCATGGGTTTTGGTATGCCTGGAAGTTATTACCTGGATGGTGCACCCTCAATGGTACCAAGGATATTGGGTGGGCTGAAGCTATTGGCTTTGAGCCACTCATCCTTACAATGCTCCACCTTGGGTTACCATCTAGGGGAGGGCACTTTCAGTTGCACTGTGACAACCTCAGAGTTATCAAAGGATAGGTGAATAGATGCAGCAGGAACTGGGCAACAAACTGCATTTTTAGGCAAGTGCTCTCCATGCTCGAATCTCTTGGATCTTTCACATCCTTCCATCTTTCTTACATCCCAAGTAGAGAGAACCCTGCTGACAGTCCTTCATGAGGACACTTCTCTCCTGAGCACCTCTTGCTCCTGCATATCACCCTCCCAACAGAACTCACTTCTGTGCTCATTGACGCCACACCATCTGCTACACCTGACACCACCTATTCCATGCACCCAGACACACACAGGAAAGCAAATTTTGACAAGTTGGCTGACAGGTCAGAAGAGTGGCAGTTTGGAGAAGAGCTATAACAATTCCAAGAGCATTGGAAGGAATAGGTTGTCATGTTTTCAATTGCTGGTTCCTGCACTTGCCTCATCACTAAGTGCTGTCACTCCTCATCCATATCAGACTGCATTGATGCCATTTCCTTCTTCACTGCAACCACATTGTTTAGTGCGAGACTGCTTACATATATGGCATCCTGTATGAAGCTGTTCGCAGATTGACCATACTGGAGCAGTAATACCTCTATCCAAAGATGATCTCAATTGCATCCTCACTGTCATCAGGCACCCACTAGCTTCTGGGACTCACACAACCTATGGTTCTGGGTTGTTGGTGTTTCATGTTTTTTGCAATGCCCATGGAGTTCCAGAGGAACAGCAAGGTCCTGCCTTATCAGTATTGATCTTAGCATTCATTGTGAATTGCACTGGTATGTATTCAGGAAAAACACTGGAAAACTATTACTATGGCATACATGCTTGGCACATTCTTCAGGGCCTTGACTGGGTAGTGAATCAAGCTCAAGTGGTCTTGGCTCTAGAAGGAGGTACATGCCTTGCTCCTGCTGTCTCCAAGCATCCCAAATGTCATCCTTTCACAATCCCCATTCTTCAAGTTCAATCAACACTAGTTCTATCAGATCCTTTGGATGCAGCAGCATGGGCATGTCTGTTGACATCATTTTTCTCCCTGGCATGACTGGGGGAGGTTACTGTTCATTTATTGTCAGCTTTTGAACCCTCCCTCCATGTCAAAGTATCCAACATTGCCTACACCCAAGATTGGCATGGACTAAAAGTGACCATCCTACATCTTCCATGGTCCAAGGTGTCCACCACTAGAGAGGACTTGTACTTCATGCAATCAGAAAATGTTGACTCCACTGCAGCTCTAGTGAACCACTTGCACATAAACACTCCCACATCCACAGATGCCCTTTTCAGTTGGAGGCATCACAATGGTCTGCGCCCTCTGACTTGATCTGAATTCCTGCATAGCCTAGATCATTCTTCCCAGCATCTGCAAATCAAGCCACTTAAGGGTCATGGAATACACATTGGCAGAACCTTGGAATACTTACTATGGGGTGTCCATTTCAAGACAGTGAAAGCAATGGGTAGATGGAGTGAAGATGCCTTTACAGGGTATTTGTGCAAGCACACCATAGTGATGGCACCTGTATGGTAGTCATGTAAGTCATCACTTTCCATCTTGTGTTTGGGGGCAAGCATGCGCTAGCTGTGACATCAAGCTCCTAATTCTTGGGTACTATCACTCATACTTGCCTTGTTCTGCCCACAGAGCCAAAAGGCATGTTTCAGCTGATTAAACCTCAGAAGGTTTATTGCCCAAATAGATTACTATGTTAGCTTTCTTGTCAGCTACACCTTTCTTGGATATGGACTCATTCTCTTGTTTGTGTGCTTTCAAATAAAATATTTATAAAGCACTTCTTGGCTTACTTGAACCTTCGGAGTCAGAGAACATAGACCCGGAGCCAGTACAGAGGTTTTAGTTCTTCCAGCTGCTACAGTCATTTCAAAAGAAGCACTGTGCTACGCACTGCTATGAGGCACTTCACTCAGCAGTGAGTTTCCTTACAGTAATATAGCGGCATTTGCATTTGTCTTGCACAACACTTCACTGTGACACTTTTTCATCAAACTTTTTGGTGGTTTACATAGGTTTCATATGGGACCATGTGTTGGCAGCATTAATAGGTACAAATGAGTGTAGATTCTTGTGTGATGTTATGTTTTGTTCTTAAATTTTCACAATTATATGTGTGACATGTTGACATCTGACTCTGAAACTGATGCAATACATATATATAGCCTCTATATACAATACAATTGTATTCCACAGGTGATCAAATGAGCAAGTGCATTGCCAGAGCAATGCTGGTTGAGGATGTCTTGAGAGTCTCTAATCAACTGATAAGTGAGTGATAGACTTCGCAATCATTGATCATTGCTAAGGTTGTGCTTCAATATGTAATCGCACACTTCGTGCAACTCAGACTTGCAAGTCTGTTGACTGGCACAATGAATAAGAATACCTTTCAATCAACTTCACTCACATCTCACCATGGCCAAGCATGCACAGTCCATCTCCAGGGAAAAAAAGCTCGCACATAAGGAGCAAGAACAAGCCATTGCTCATGCTATGCAGGCTTACAGAATCAAGCTGGTAAAACCAGATGTGGAATGGAAACCACTGAAGACACTCTGCTAATCAACAGTGGTATTGCAAGGCATGTTTTGCAACAGACTGTCAAGTCAGTTAGCATTGCAGGAGGAGAAGAAGCAAGGGAAAAAACAGGAACAGTTAGTGGGCAATGGACTCCCCAGGCTCCTCACAGGTGATGCATTTTATACCTCTGTTGTCAAACACCAGAAAGCTGCTGAAGAAGAAGCAGTGGCACTTGAAACTCATTGGCAAGAAAGGGACAAATGAGTGAATCTGATGAAGATATGGAAGAAGGACGACATGAAACAATTGGAAAGAAACAAGGCATGCAGGAAAGCATACAAGGAAGAGTTGACTCAGTGGGAAGCCATCAGTGAACCGGTGAACAGATTAACATGTCATAGTTAACTATATATGGTCAACAATCACCACAATCTCCATAAATTTGGCAGGAGGGTTTACTTTGAAATGTTTGACCTTATGAAGGAAAGATGAATTTTCGAGCCGACCAGTCAAGTTATTGTATCCTCGACATACCACTTTATATGTTAAGTTCCCACACCCCACAAAGGGGTAATGAATTTTCTATGAACAAAAGATGTCATGGCAGCCAATGAAGTGAACTGTGGATCCATAATTATCAGGATGAGCATTGAGGTGGCTACTCACATGGGCCTCAAACCCTTGAGCAATGCTACAACAACTAAAATCATCCCATGTGTGAATGTGTCCCATTGAGTTATGGCTGTTGAGGATTCACTTATACCTTCCAACAAAGTGGCAACAATGAGAAGGAATAATGAATGTTCAAGTCGACCAGTCAGGTTGTTGCATCCTCAACATGCCACTCAATACATGAACCAAGTTATGAACAAAAGATGTTGTGGCAGCCAATGAAGTGAACTGTGGATCTGTGATTGTTGAGACAAACATTGAGATTGTCACTTGCATAAGCGTCAAACCCTTGCACAATGCTACAATGACTAAAATTATCCCGTGTGTGAATATGTACAGTTAAATTATGGTTATTGAAACCTCACTTGTACCATTGAACAAAGTAGCAACAGTAAAATTTTCAAATAGAATTGTTGAAATGAGCACCAAAGCTGCAACTGGCATGGGGGAGCAAACCCTTTTAGGAAATCTCTGACTTGGATATGTCATTCAGATGTGTGAGGATTTGCAATTAGCCAAAGAAGATACACTGCATGACAACACTTTGACTATATTATCTAAATGAAATAGTAGACATATATTGAGTGCTTTGGTACCTTGCTATGAGGATAGGTGCAATGTGTGAGGCCAACACTAGTACCTAATTTGCACAATAACAGCAAGACTGTCCTGACGTGAATATAAGGTTGATGTCGGTGTATTATGTCAGACTCACAACCCCATCCAGCATTGGGAAAGTCGAAAATGGCCACAATAAATTTTACAGTGTTCTGCTGACATCCCAAATTTAACAAATGGGCGGCAATGTAGTGATTGAGGGCTTGGATGCTGAGGAGCAGGGTTGTGCAGTTTTGAGGAGATGATTAGGTATGTCTAGTGTTTTGCTTTTGTAGATATACATTGTCTTTGCTCAGATAGGTGGTATTTTGTACGAGTTGCAAAAGCACATCGCGGTAACAGGTCGACGCCAGTTTACAAATTATTTTCGCTGATTCAGCTATTCAGTGAAATATATTTCTATATTCCAACATCTACCATGGCTCCTTTACCTACCTGATGTGCCTCTTGCATTTGGGTTTATCAACCAAACCTATTCAGCTGGAGGCTGGGGTTGATCTCTGCAACTGAGGGCATTGCATTTGAAAAGCTCTCGGCATTTTGATTGCACAGTTATCCCTCCGGTTGTACAAAGATTGAACTTCCATGTTGCATGGTAGTGTTGAACATGGAAATAAATTTAGTTGCTATCAGCAAGTTAAATGGCATGAGTTCTGGATGGTCAACCAATGATACACAGTTGGGGCTTGCGCATAACCTCCAAGATTATGGTGTTTGTAGGTAGAAACTTTTAATGCATCACTTGGTGCTAGGCAGCTTTAAGTTTGGACATTGAAATAAATCAATTAGTGGGTTGGTATAAAATTCTACTGAAGATCCTGAAATGATATCCAATCTCAAAACAGGTGAAATTCTGAGGTGACATTGTAACATTAAAATTACTGTAGACATAAATATTTCAGGAATATTGTATTAATACAGGTAATAGCCCATGTCAATTAGTGGGCAAAAGAAAAGGGGGTAATGATAAATGAGAACAGTGAGAAGGAAAAAAATCAGTCCAAGTCAAAGGCAGCATCCTCCAGCGCCTTCCTCTGCCCTGCCAGTGTGTTGACAGACATCTGTGATACAACATCTGAGGTAAGGTCCTCACAATGATTGATTCCAAATATTTTCCTAAATAGCAAGATCAGCCATCCACTCCTACTAGTAGATGATAAATTGTTACCATGTCCACCATTCCAAAAGCCTATCTATCCTACATTTCATAACAGGACCAGGGACATCCTCACAAAAGTCTACAGTGTTATTCCAGAACCCCTCATAGTTGAAATCACCGTTGACAGTGCGCCAAGATGAGATGTTTGATAAAGTGAAATGAACCTGCCACTCAAAGGTTAGATGCCAGATGTGAACATAGTAACTATTAATACCCACTTACTTGACAAACAACATAAGTGATAGTGTGAGGGGTAACTTTTTTCATGTTGATGACTGAGGTGACGCAAGTTTTGACCTTCGCTTGCTCTGATTTCTGTCGGGCACACCTGTTGTTCTCAAGGATGTCAGCTCCATCACCGTCACCTTTGGCTTCCTTCACAGAGGAAGGAGATGTAAAGATGGCTTTAAAAGCCTGTGATGCAAAGTAGAAGATGTCATCATGAGTGGTTTCTAAAGTCACTCACCTGAACAAGAAGCTTGGACTTGAAGAGCCCTTCCTCAAGGTTCTCATGGTTGACTTTGTAGTTTTTGTACAAAAACAATGGCCAAGAGTTTTCTGAGACAATACATTCTGACATTCTGTTATGAATGCTGTCCTTGACACTGGACAGGCATCAGGGTCATTTGACAGTCCAGAAAGGATAAATTTGCTCACCAGTTTTGATCCCAGTCCCATTCTGCAGGGCAGAGTAGCTTCCCACAAACTTTGCTTGTGTCATATGCCATTCTGGACTCTCAACTCTAAATCCACTTCTCCGAATATCCAGATCTGAGATCTGGATCTCAAATGATCTGATCTATATTTATCTCCCTTCCAGAATCCAAACCCTATATCAGTGCCCAACCCCATTTAGACTTCCCCTGTCTCTGGACTCTGGTTAACCATGTTTCCCTTTTGATTATTGATCTGTTACATACATTTCATTTCCAGTGTTCATTATTTGTGATCTGTCCTACTTACTAATAGACTTTGCATATGCTTTGTACATAGCCTTTATATTTGCTGACTGATTCCTATATGATACCTACAGTATATAAACCTCCTGTAACTCTCAGAAATACTCCAGTTTGAATATCATCTTAGTTCCTGCTCATTCCTGTGTCTTCTGGACTCGAGACAAGTCTCTTGTCATATTCCAAGTCTTAGGATTGCATCCTAGGCTACATTTCTGACTTTACCTTAAAGGTAGTCCATCCTCTGTTAGTTTCTAGTCCGGATTAGTCTTATCTGCTTGTCCAAGTAATATCTGGATGTCCATTGTCCGCCCTAGTCAAATCCTGGAAACTCTGGACAACTGCTCCAGCCCTTGGAAATTAAGGGCACATACTTGGGAAAGGGGCACAGCGTATGAGCTGAGGCCAAGCCCTTGTGATCTGACCCCCTTGAGCATGCGACCTTAACAGCTTGCAAAGCCACGTGAACGCTTGTCATCAGGTTGGATCAGAGGAGAAGGACAAAATGCTTGATTGACCCAGGCAGCTACCAGGTCCTTGAGGCAGGAGGTATTGTCTTTACAAGCTGCATTGGCTCCTTTATTGAGCTATAAAATAATCAGCATGCAATGTAATTTTGTTTGCGAAATATATCAGACCTTTTTCAACATATCTTCACAGTCTTCATCTCAAGGGTCCCCAACTTCCCATGCAGCCATGGCAGCACCCGCAAGAGTTCGATGTAGCCACATTGCATGTGATCTTGCCCAAGTTTATTGTATGATTGAAATATGGTATGAAATGCAGTTGACCACCTACTCTGGTGTGGCCGCATCCTCTGGTTGATCCTCATACCGGTGATCATTTTCAGAAATCAGGTCTTCCAAGCTGGCGTAAAGGATCACTAGGTGATGAATCACCCTACCTTGTGCAATGTAGTAGGTTGTTTTTCTTTGTAAGAAAATCAACACTGGACTAAGGGTAATGAATGGGACGGTAGGCTTACCTCTGCTTCATTCCCCTCTCTTGCTGCATAATCTCCAGCTCATCTTCTAAGGCAGCAATGCGATGCTTGGCCCTTGCTTTGGCAGTAGTAGGCATCGCTCCAGATCCAGATACTGTCGACACATGTTGGGAATTTGAAAGCCCCACGCCATCAGACACTGACTCAGACTCAGAAACATTAGAATTGTGGGATGCCATGAAGTGGAGGAGAGGAAGGGAGGGAATGGAAGGGAGAATTTCAGGACAGCTGTTGCACAGTGAAAGAGCAAGGCAACATCACAGTGGATGAGAGAAATGAGTGAACTTGAAGTAAAGAGAGCTATCCTTTATACATTCACTGATGGCCCACTCAGGCTAGAGCATAGTCTTAAGGATGGATGACATTTACATACAATACACACATGCCTGAGCTTATAGTGCTTCCATTAGTCTCAAAAAACCCTCCCACCTGACAGCATTGTTTAAGAGGTTAACCATTACGTGTCACACCTGGATTTTAGTAATGATAGGCTCCCCATCAGTCACCCTGCTGATGGATCGTTAAACGGATGCTTTATGCTCTTTTCTTTCGGTAACTTGTACATGTTGATAAAAAGACACAAGGGGTGCTTAATGCTCCATGAAGTCCAGCCACTGCAATTATTGCAAACAGATATGAGTGGCATAACTGACTAGCAGATCCATAATGATGTCAGCATTTGATCCGAATGGTAAGTCTGAGTCGAGGAGTACAGGTTTGCATTATGAATGAAAAGAACCAACCCCTTGTACTTTATGATAGTAAGCTTACCATGATGAGACAATGTCCAATATAGGGTCTATGACCCCAAAGGACTCTGATGCAAAAAAAAGTCTGAGTTGGTTGGCATGCATTCAAGTTTGAGCCTATCTGAGTATATTGAACCTGAAGGGAGTCTCAGTGAACTTGGCAAGCCTGAGAAATGATATTAGTACTCGTAGCTGTAGTGATAAGCTCTTACTACTACCAACTGTTCAAGAGTGAGTGGGCCCAGTGTGTGATCACCTACTAGTAGTCACAGTAGCCTTTGGACTTGGACCTCCGAGTCAGACTTGCACCAACAGGCTGTCTCGGCATTATCACGGTAAACTTAATAGTAACTTGAAGTCAAGGCTCTGCCAGTGAGCCTGAGGGACTAGTACTAG